GCATTAGAATGTGTTGCACCCTTTCAAACATTAGTTTATGTTGTCATTATAAAGGCACTGATGAATAAGTCAGAAGAGAAGGATTGTCTGGTGATATTCCTTTGGTGCCTCAATGGCTTCAGTGGATCTCTACTGGCTACTATTGTACAATGTGTCCAATATACCAATTTTACCAACCCATTAGCAAACACATTGGCGATTGTCTTAACTGTTAAAGCGGTTCCGCTACACCGTAATCTGCAAAAGAATTGCAGGTGACCTAGATAACAACTCCGCTCCGACTACGATATTACCCACGCAAATGTACTCATGTTTGTTTAATAATGTGTTATTTTACCATTGTTTCTGATTTGGCTGAGTGGGATATTTAGTTGAGGAGGTCCCAGGTGAGCCATACAATTCCCACGGTAACAAATAGCATTGTCCACAGGATGCTCTACTTTTCGTCAAGACATAAAAAGAGGGTCCTCTAAATTACACTCATCGCCCTCAGAATGAACTAAGCAGGAGCTAATAGGCTGCATCTTAGTCTCGACTGCTCATAAAATGGGCATTTGTCGACACACCCAATCCCTGCACCGCCTGCTGCACTGCCAATGTAGCACTGCTCTAAGGAAGCACTGAGGAAGGCACCAGTGCTAACCGAGTGCATTGATATGTGCGTAGATGGATGAGTGGATGGATGGAAGTGTGGACAGAGGGCATAAATGTGCCTCCTAGATTAAACGGACGCACGAGCAAAGCTCCCACAAAGTAATAAACCAATCAAGCATGTTTTCCTTAGCCTGCATTATTTAGCATGCAACTCGTATGGGAACTGAGCGCAAGGTGTACCCTAATTAGATTGGGGTAAATTATCAAAGCAGAATAGCATTTGAATAGAGTTTGCACAACTGGAAATGCCTTACATGATTTCACCTTAAGCATATCTCATCGACCTACAGCTGATCCACCTGTAAGCTCAAAGTATAGCTCGGCAGCTGGATGCGAAGTATTGTGGTGATGTTAAAACCGTAGCATTGCAGTAGTAATAACAACAATAATAACCTTTACCATTTAAGCATGTTTTGTGCAAAGCGGATAAGGAATCCCCATTTCTTACCACCGGGTGTGCACGTGTCCTAATTCAAACATGCAGGAACCAATAAGCGTCAGTGCACAACGTGTTCTTCCGCATGCACAAGGGCCTGACAATCCATTCATTCACCTATTCACAAGTTTATCACGCCTTTATTTATTCATTCACATTGATCTCATTCACTCAGGTCCAAGGCTCACCTACTCACTCACCAGCTTAGATCATCCGGCTGGCTGGCAAAAAGTCGTAATCGGAAAGAAGATGTCATTTGGCTTCATGCAGAAGGTTTGAAACAAAGTTCCCCCACATTGGAGTATATGTACATTATAAGGTCTAAATTTAAAATAATTGTGTATAAGTCACCTTCAGGCTGTTCGTTTACCCTGTTAATGATATGCAGTGTTGATATCTGGCTCAGCATTTAATTTGAGTTAATTGTTGGTATTTTAGGAATCAAGGGCCTCTGTTTTTTGAGTTTGTTTAGGCACACGGTTACAGCATTTACTTGGTCCTCCTTGTTAATTATATTACTATAAACAAATCTTACTCATGCAGACAGATGCCTTGACTTCTTTAAATCCAACCGAGACAATAAACTCCCTTTATTTTCTTTAATTAGCCTCGATCACTTTCAGTCTAGCCGTTTAAATTGGCGGCGTTTAGTTCAGTTGTGCAATTGCAGAGTTCATGTCTTTA